GCTTCCAAAGGTGTCACCCCACTGTTAATGGCACTCGGAAAAGGGACCTCATGCCTAAAATGAGGTACTGGGCACCTCTGAGGAATCAATGCGGCATCAGGGTACCAAGGGATCGGAGGTCATGTCGCACAAACCCTACTCAGATACTTGAGGCAAACCCCACAACTTTCATTGGTTCGTGGAAGAGAGAAGATTCGCTGGCCAGGTAGCATGTGTTGCAGGAGGCCCAATTGGGGTGGGCGTGCGAAAATTAGAGATTATCGAAACGTCTAGTGCCATCCTTGACATATGGCTCTACAGTCCGTCAATCAACCACGTGGACCGACTGCCTTAACAGCCTACACGGTTAACCGATGTAGGGACCCGCATAGACTACAGACAACCACCAGTGTTGCTCCGGAAATACTGTCAAAACCCTGGACAGAAAAATCCATAAGATTCGCTGACATTCACCTGTCTGCGTTGGAGTAATATCCCAGCACCACATATGGTACTCTCTATTGCCTTTTCAATGCTACTCAGATGAACACGAACTCTCGTGATTGTGGAAGAGCACCTATATCATTTCCCATCTTCGAGAAGAGGGAAAAAAGGAGCCGGGATCGTTACCGACCTAAGGCACTTCTACCGGTGCTGCCTAAATCAGGAGAAAGGCTGGTGACCAACCGTGTCAAGGAATTTTTTGGCAAAAAGAGCAATAAGCGATGTTTAGTGTAGCTTCCGAGATGGCTGACGCTGTGCTGCTAACTTCGTGGCAGTCTATAACAACTCGGTGTCACCCTTGGACCTCCAGACCCTTTGTTTATGTGGATATTTTAAATCTTGCCAAAGCATCCGACACAATCTCACATACCTTTCTTGCACGCGGGATAGAAAGGCTTGTTATCAGCAGTCGGTTGCTATCCTAACTGAAGGAACATAAAGAAGACAGGGGGTTCTTCACAGAAGTAAGCAGGGTCAGCTCGACACGGATGGAATCCCTGTCTTGCATGACGCGACGATCATTTCTGTGTCCTTTGATATTGTCACCTTTGCGGATGATGTTGTATCGAATCTCAACCGTTCTATTTAACTTCCGCGGACGGTAATGGATTATGGATATCTGTAACACTCAGAGAGAATCCAGCTCAACACAAGGCGACATCAAGATACTGGGGGAGAGGATAGAAAAAAACGAGCCGGTATTAGACCTTGAAAGGTGCCTAACTGTCTTTCGACGCTGGCGGAAGGTAGTTCGCTTTCCATGTGGTGTGTAGCCCCGTCATACTCCCATGGAAAGGATCTGGGACTAAAGGTAACTGGTAAGCCGGGAGCCAGTTGAGGGTAACAAGGAGACTCCTATGCAGAACTGTCCTCCGGGCTTCTACAACTAGGCATGCTTATGTCGGAGCTGCTTGTAGAGCTCAGCAATACCTACACACGACCCCGCCTGGAGACTCACAACATCTGTGTACCATCACACCCGAGAAGAGATATGAACATCCTGGGAAAATTCCTGGGGTAAGAGAAAACCACGTAACGGCAAGCCAGAGGGCCTAGACCTCTACCCATCTGAGGATCGTAGGTTACGTGGTGAATCGAAACTGGCCTACAAGAAACCATATAATCCGGGTTGCCTGAAAAGAAGAATGTCACTGGAAGGGCACTATGATGGTCTTCGTAAAACCACAAGAGTATTTTCCATCAGAGTACAGAACTCGTATGAGTTCAAACTTTTCTCTCCAGTGTGTAGTTATGGGACCAATTACCCACTGCGTCAGTCATTGCTGCATCTGTCGACAAATTCAGAGGGCCAGGTAGTTACTCAGTGACACGTGGCTCCAGGCCATTTGATCTAGGTACAAACTAGGCGGAAACAACCAACTGATGTTCCATCAACATATCACTGTTACCTCAGTAGTGATTCCCTTCCACTGACACCATTATTATGGACTCTGATCAACCATATTTCCATCTCACATCGATAATAATAGCAACAATAACGATCTGATTCAGCAAGTTCGGGCACCTGTGGGTTCACGGGCGTGGTTATATTATTGTACCATCCGAAATCTGATTTTGCTACAGTATTGGTGATTTAATGTGATTAACTCAGCGCGCAAATGAAAAACAGTGCGCCAAAGTTTCAACAAATTATCAGGTTCCGATGACGAGAGGTTTCAATACACCATGTAGTTCATCGAAGAAGTATTTCAGGCAAGTTTAGGAAAGAAAGAAGTCGCAAACCATGCATGTGGCGTGGGCTATCATAGTTTTAACGATTGGAAACCTGAGTGGGTTCGGTACAAACTTTTCCCAGGCTTAAATATGATAACAATATGCGATAGACAGTCACCAAAGTTTACAAATGACTACTTTAAGCTACCTAGAATAACGTTAATTTGATCATTGGATGTCATTGCCGCTCCACGCTGGCTTAGGGTTGGTGTAGTATTAGCCTGTCAGTGAATAGGAGACTGCGTCGTGGTCCTGGTGCAAGTGTTTTGATAACCAGAAAGTTCCAACTAGCATATCCGCGTCAACATTCAATGACTAGTTTCCATAGATGGCCTTACTTCTCTGGTTACCATAAAACTACTGATATCGTCAGTGTCACCATTCCCATTGTCCCTGACTTAACTTTTCCTGTCCCTCCCTCCTCTGATTCCCCGCGATTTAACTCTGTCAACCCAGCAAATGGTTATATACTGAAATATATTAATTCCCACACTATGAACCGAACGTAGGAAAAGCAGGTTCACGGGTATCATCAAACCGTAGTGGTTGAAAAATACACCCTTTGAAGGTTCTGAATTGTTCAGGTGGCAGGACATTCAACCTCACCATAATATGAAGCGTATGCAACTCATGAAAAAAACAAGAAAATATCTTATTTCAGCATAAACATTGTGTTTGTGCTTTTGAATTACTTTTGGTCATTTTATTTTCGGTCATGGGTGGCACCAAGTTCACGCAATAATCAATGTTCGCGTTATAAGTGACCGAAGAGTTTAACTCGTCTGTGAAGTTCGATGCCTTGTCAGATAGCCATCTATTTCAACACCAATTCACATGCTTAGTACTCCTGTTCGCCCCAAGACTAACGTTTTCTTCTGGTTTTCTTAATTGGATTGTCGATGTTATTTATATTAGGCTCTACACTCCTATACCATGCCACTGCCGGTACTGGTTACCTCAGTGTCAGAAACTGGAAGCAGGTTAGTACCCCTAAGAAGCCATCTACTACGGAGTTCACAGACTGCCTGTGGATCACCGAAATTTATGACCACGTCCTAGGTGACGTGTTGAGTATCCCTTTGTTTTTCCGTTGCACTTTTGCAAAATAATATGAAAGTGTTGTAGTTGTTTCTTAATTTCTTCAACCCACGTTCTTATTGGGTATCTTTTTGAAGTTGGTGGATTGTCGTATGCATTTGATTCAGGGCACTAAATTTCCTCGAAATTGCTTGCTCCCGTTTCTTAATTTTTCATTGGGTTTCCCTCTCGATAAATAAAGTTATTATTTTCAGGTCAGTCTGCCGGCTCGATTGTATCTTGCACGGAATCGGTAATCTTTTGAAATGTATCTAAGGTTTGGCACAGATTATAATAAGAGAAGAAGTCCGCCCAACCTCAGCGTTTTATGAGTGATGTCCCAAGCTTCCAGCCGGCATTTTTGGAAGTCTTCGTAACAATGGTGCTTTGAGCTCTGAGTTGTGTGACTGACATTTCTGAGTCCATTATTAACTGGTGACTGAGTAGACAGTTGTTCCACGTTAGCCTTGGCTACTGTTGAAGCATTAAAATGGCGCACGAAAACCTACATTTTGGCCGGTTTTAGCCTTTTTAGACCAATACATCCTACTTTTTAATCTTGTCTTACGTGTCTTTCACTGAACAGTATCCGCCGTTGTATCAAGGCGTCATAAGTGCACAACGGAAGCTCCTAATTCCCTATCTATCAGGTAGAAGAAATCCCCTATAGTCCAGTATTATTCGGTGACATATTTGTGTTTGTAATAACAGTGAAGGGATCGTTGGTAATTTTCGATAGCCTGAGTTAACCAGTCGACAGCTTGAAGAAGAAGTTCCCGGTTTATTGAAGGCATCAGTATGATAAAGTAGCACGGCCTGTTGCTACTACTAATTTTCTGAAGTCTGAGTGTAAGATATCCCTCTTGAATCTCCATATACTGACTTTTTCAGACTGAAGAATTTCGGAATTCCATGTCATAGAAGTATACTGCTAGGCTGATAGAGAAATGAAGGGTTGCTGGGAACATGGATTAAAGACTGAATTATATTTTATCGCCGCGTGTCTGTTACACCTGCCTAAAATTCGCAGTATGTGTGACGAAATAGCAAGTGCCGAAATACTTAAAAATGACGTAGCTACGATTACTATTTGAATGTGGGTAGTGAAAATGCAGTGGTAGAATACCTACAGATATCTTTCCACTGAACTTTTACGCCTTGTTTTTCGCTGCTTCAACTTACAAGTGATCAACTTAATAGTGTGGAAAGAAAGACCACTGAAAACTGCCATCAACAAATCAGTTTTGCTATCATCAAAAAGTTGTAAATGTTACGACAGCAGATTTTTTTCCATTGCGAACAGGAAAAAGACGCGTTCAGAACCAAGGTGAAAGGGGTTGCGAATGACAAAATTACAGTCAGATCCAAAGGTGAAGTAAACTAGAACTATCAGCCAAAAGATGACCTGAACTCTCACAGGCAGTGGGAATATAAGTGCAATCGTCCAGAAGAGGTAAGGTAAACGTGTAGTTCACCTTTCCGATTCTGCTAAGTATTTACTGGCAATCATTATGGTAGCTTTAATGCAAGTAACATGGTTTCAGACTTGCTTTAGTCAGATATTTGACAGATGATCGTGCGGAAAACTCTCAGTGATGAAATTCCATGTTTTATTTGAAATATTTTGAAAATATCTTAACCAGCGCTCGGTAATGGACCTAGGCCACCTTTTGTTTGTTCGCACTACATTGTAGCAATAACTAGTCACTTAGGTCAATACCTGTTTTTGATCTCACAGTAGCCGAGGAAATTATTCAGTCAGTTACTGGAATGTGTAGCATTTCTTCCTACGTTGGTTGACTTCATCCATTCGCCTTTCATCATGAAAAGGCAAAAAGCAGTTGTAAAATTAGATAAGGAGTTTTACTGCACTTCCTCCTTTCATTTTCATAAGTATTCGGTTGCGATAAGTCCTATCATAGCTCAAAGTGATATTTCGGCAGTAATGGAAGTCAGTCAAAGAGAAAAATGAAATCGGTTGATCACATGCAAAAAGAGAACCATTTTCATACTTCATGTGTAAGCTACCCCAAAGTGAAGTCGAGTAGCATGCAGGACATCGCGAACTCCTATCCTTCTGTTCAAAGTGATCGAATCACAAGGTACGCTAGCCCAAACCGTTTTGATGTGCGCAGTGCTCCCAATAGCTTTTTAGACTCATATAGATCCTACAGGTAACAGCTTTCGATATCAATAAATTCAATTCACTCTAGATTTCCACATAAACCAGAGACATATCTTAACCGGTCAAAAATTCGATCAACAATGCGGACAAGCATTTCATCGTACGCAGTCACTTCTCCAAGTGGATGTTTCTCCAACAAGCCTACTCCTAGTTCCACCGCACAAAATCTGCAATTGACAAGTGGTGTCAGATCCTGTGATAAAAACATCTCATCTGAATGTCCCAAGGAACTGCCAACTAAAGTTCTACCATACAGTTGCAAGTAAGATGAGGCTAAGCTTACTATCTTGTCTCCCCTCTGATTCATGCTCCTGCGCAATATGTCCACATATTTTCTACTTTTAAAACAAGGCATCATAATGTTTATGAAAACTTCTTAACAAAATGGAATTCTAATTAATCAGAGATGCCTAAAACGTCTTTTCATATCCTCTAACCCAACAGAAAAACCTTTATCCATCTAAGTTAATCTGTTTTCTGCAGTTATAATGTCAAGAAGCTGTCTGTTTAGCACATGTGCATGAGTTCGGTAACCTGCTATGTCACAGATCATGCGGCAAGGTGTTTTGGAGTGATTTTATTAGTCAACAATTAGTTAACAATAGATATAGTTGTATAAGTAGCAGAATGCGAGTATTTTCATGATATAGCATTATAGATTACCGTTTCTGGAAAGAAGACTCACGTACACGGTTTTCATGAGAAATGTTGCATCAGATGCCACTTAAACTGGAGATATATTTCTTTTCATTGTCTTCCTACTGTATATTTGTTTCTGTGAACCCAGTTGAAGTATTCGATTGGTTCTGTTTGACATACTACTTTAATGTCTGCCTAAATCACTTCAGTATTTGAGTAGTAGAGAGGACTATCAAGTTTTTGAGGAGTGGTATATGTTTGCATACTGATGAATCAACAATGAAAAGTTTGATGCTGACGATAAGTGTAGTTTCTGGTCACAAAGTGCCTTAAATTTTAACAATACTCTTGCTTACAAATGATTACTAGTGTTTGCGTAAGAAAAATGATCTCTTGGCTGATATATTGTCATGAGTTGTGGAAGTATCATAGCTGTACATTATTTCTGTTGCACGGGGAAGATATTTACATACCAGAAGGCAATTTCTTTGTTCATCATTGCGATTATTTCCTTTTTCATCTAATCGCGTCAGCTGTTGGAAGGTGCTGTCAATAATCACCTGGTGTTTAAGCCTTGAAGGAAGTTTATGGGGAGCGGTCGTTGTATTTTGAATGAATCTACAAATGCTTGGTGTTTCACTACGCTTCCTGTTGGCCCAGTCTTGTAGTATATAGTGTGCAAGTTGTCAGATACTAGTTAAACCTTTCCTGATGGATAATTTTTATTTATTTATTTGACGAAGGGCTAGTTAAAAAAAAGCTAAGATGTGGTTCATTCTTGTCAGGAAATATGGCGACCGGAGATGCAACCTTGAAGAGATTTATCAAAGCGCATATCTTGCGGAAGTGTTACTGTGACGTTTAGGCAAATATCAAAGCGGCAGAGATGTTTTTTGGTTCCACCCTTTTAAAGCTTTATGACATATTAGAATGCCTGTCATAAATTATATTGGCATTTTCTGGACTTCGCGAATATCGTCATTGTTGAAAAAAGCGGAGCTAGCTGTACTTCCTCCTGGTAAATCGTTGCACAATTACTGGAGGAACAAAATATTAGGAGCAGTAATCGTATATTATTTATATATTATTTTAGCAAAGGAATAGATTTGAAGGGATTAATAAATTATAAGCCACCAGAATTTTGATGCTTGAAAAGTATTTCATTAGAAATAACTGGAGTAACTTATTTAGCACTATGAGAATTTTCATAACTTCACTTTTCTATGTTTCTTGAAATCAGCTTTTTAAGTCAGCGTAAATGAATTTTATGTAGATACAAATGGTACTTTGGGAATGAATAGGTTCAACACAGTAAAGAACTATACTTATTTTATCTTTTATTTGATGTAAGAAGTGTAAAATTTTAATTCAATCACAGTGTCACTCTGAAGAAGGATATGAACTGACGAAAAAGAAAAAGGCCCAACTTTCAATGTAAAAATCCAAAGCGTGTTAGGGATAAGGACTTTTTATCTGAGTCATAACTATAATAATATCACTGCCGTATTTTTTAATGTAGGCTTTTGGTCAAACTTTTAGTGTTATATGGTTTTGGAGTTTAAGCAGAGGTTCGAATTATAGGTTTTTTATTTGTTTTTCTGCTTCTTAATTTTCTAAAAAGACTGTACTACTCAGCATATGTAGGACAGGACGAGGTCCACAGACGAGTATTTGTTTCTGTTACACTTTGTGAGTACTAATCAAATTTAGTTTATGCATAAGGAATGCTTATCTCATTTTCGGTGTGGAGCGGAGAATATGGTATCAGTGAAAACAACCTTGACCTAGGTTTCCCTTTATACAGGGATTTGTACTTTCAAATATCTTTATACAGTAAATTTCGGATGAGATAAATTGTTAAATTGGTACTCATGTTACTTTGGACAAATTCTGTTTCATATATTCCTTGTGAACCCTTATTGTTGCCATTGCATTGACAGTTAACAGTGTGACTAGACATTGGTACTGAGTTTAGTCTAGTCACCTTGAATTAGTTGGCGATGGAAGGCCTTCTAAATATCAGGGAATCAAGAATGCTGAATAGTTGGTGGTTTGATATGAATTTCTATGCGCATATTTTCAATTGGTAGTTATAATCTTTTAGGATCTAATTTGCTAGCTTCAACTGTATCCCGTGATAGATGGCAATAAAAATGTAGTTGCGTCTTGTTTTCTTGTGCTTTCCTTGTTTTCCTAGCTGTTTAAAGTCTTCAAAGTTGTCTAACTTCTTACCAGCAGCCTTTTGAACGAATACCGGATGTTTTCTCTTTTAGTCAGTTCTGCAATATTCTTAAACGTATTTCATAACTTTTTTACTTCACATACCTGTTCATCGTTTTCTCAAAGCATAATGTAACTAAAGTTAATCACTTTTAGTGTTAAATTAATTCTATCATTTAATATTCACCATGATTTAACAAAAACTATGTGGGCAGCAACATGTCCTACAAAGTATTTTGAAGTTTCATACTTTTATTTAGTATATGTTACTAACTTCTATTTTTTATATATAACTGTAATTATCCGTTAAAAATGTGCAGGATTTTACCTATAGATTTTAACAACGCATTCTTTTCAGTGAAAGTGCATCTATTATTTTAATTCCTTTTGTTCTAGGTCAACTGAACAATGCAGCAGTTCCACTAGACAACTTATAAAGCATCCTAACTTACCGAGTAATAATAATAATAATGATCACACTTCCAGTTCATTTGTAAAAGACTCCCCAGGAATTCCTTCCCCACACATTACATCTAATAGCTTATCTTCATCTGGCCCTCCAAATATGCAACCGTATCATTTTATTCTACCTAAAAATCAACTCCAACAACGTTATCTATTATACAAAGGTAAGTTTCTGCACTTTCGACAACGCACATACTTTCTTTTGGTGTTTCTTTTTCTCCTACTTGGTATTCACTCGCCGATTATTTTGTTTTCATACTTTCCTTTATGTTATGTTAAGAAATATCTTAGTGTACAGTAAAAAAACAGAGCCTCGTATAACACTGAATTACATACACACAAAATAAATAATGAGGGGAACAAAAACCACCTAGAAGAATATTTAATAAATCATAGGCTGCAGAATGTGGAAAAAGGAGAAGAATCTACATCTTCTTAACTGCTATGCAAAATTGTATGGAATGCTTACCTACAACAGAGGCCTAAATGTGCACAAAATGTGGGCTACTGAGGGCAGGATGTAAAAATCAGTTAACCACTCGTTTTATATGCTGACATATATATATATATATATATATATATATATATATATATATATATGGCGATTCCACTGGTTTTGGAGGGCTGTATCAGCTACTATCATGATCCAGTTATCATCCAAGTAAAATTGTTCACTAAGGTGAACATGAACTCTTTTTATCAATCATGCTTTTCAATAAGCGCCTTGCAGCGCCAGGCCGATATTTCGGTTCAAATATCTACGGTTATAATTTGGTACCTATGCTTGCAGTTTTCTAGTTTCAGATTATTCTAGATGGTTCAACTGACAGTTAGTCACTTTTTCACTTGAACTAAATCTATCTGTTGAAAAGAGGAGATTGAAGTGATAGGTTATTCAGTATTGCTAATTTAAGTGAAGGACTTTAGCTTTAAACGTTAACCCCACCAAGCAGTCGGAAATCGGAATAAAATCGAGGAGAGACTTTCAAGACCACCCTGGTAACTGGTGAACTAAACAATTAGGTTTCGGTATTTCAGCCGAGAAGGTGTTTTTTCCATAAAACAATGAAACGTGATTGTCTATCTTAGCAACTGTTAGGGTGGCCTTTAAAGTCACTAACATTGAGACCTAGTTAGCTAATAGACCTATTAGTCACTCAAGTAGTGTACCATCCATCAGATATAAAGGTTCCTTTTCTTAGTGACTTAGTGTCATTCCACCATCTTGTTTAATTATTTTTGCGTTATTAGCAAAGGCAAGTCTGGTTGATATCCAAGTATCTATTATGGAACAGTTTCAATAATTCCCCTCTAGTTTTTTCTCTACTATATTTTAAGTCGTTTAATAATAATAATAGTAGTAATAATAATTCACTTTATTCCAAACAATCTGCGGTACAATTTGGAATTCTCAACGCAATATATATTGCCATAACAACAAAATATAAGTATATACATACTACTTTGCAGCCTTTTGAATTGTTTCATTATAAAAATTTAAGTTATGTGAAGAATATTAAAAACGGGAAAAATTTTCATTGTAAGTTAAATTATTGAAATGAGATTTTTAACTGTTACAAAGTTGATGTGTGATTTCTGTTCTAACACTTTTTTCCTCACAAAATATGCCTGAAAGGTAAGGTACAGTCGAATTCTCATACTTAGCTGTACGAGCATACAGTCTTATGTAGTTTCTCCTTGTCTTCCCTGTGGAGATACATGGAGAGAGCTGTGAGTGAAGTGGATGCTCACTGTCAGTTAAAATTTCTGTAGCTAGTAGCTTGCAGGAATTTATATGTCGATCAACTACAGTGTTAATCACTTGAGCCAGAGACACACCACTCACCCTGCTGACGGTCTTCAAAGCCCTGCACAACATAACATAGTCCTTTTTAAGAAGACCAGGAAAGATTAATGGGGAACAATATAGAAGAGTAGGTAAAATGCAGGAATTAATAAATTGTACAAGAAGCAGTTGAGTTATACCAGAAAGCCTCAATTTCTTTATGTAATAAGTTACACGAAAGATTTTTTCACAAGTCAACAAAATATGGGACGACCAACAAAGGTCAGAAGTAAAAGGCAACCCAAGATAGTTCACACTCGATTTACTTTCTACAGAAATGCCATTGATGCAGCAGGCATCATGAGATTTGAGCAGCTCACACAAGTCCGTCTTGTTTACGCCTGAGGCTAAAATTAACGGTCTGACATTTAGAGGGGTTTAGTTTGAGACCGTTTGAGAGAGACCATTTACCAACTTCAGACAAGAATTCATTTGATTTCGAGCAATCCAAAGAAGAGTTGACTGGAATAGAAATCATCAGGTCGTCAACATACTTGATAAAATTAGTTTCAACAGAATGAGGCAAGTCGTGCAAAAAAAGGAAAACAGAAAAGGAGAAAGTACAGCACTTTGAGGCACACCAGCTTCAGTAAGCAATGAAGTGGAGCGTATTCCTTTGTGAATAGTGTACTGTTTCCTTTCAGAAAAATAAGAATGCAGCCATTTTGTAACCCATGGCTCAGTGTGAGCTATGACAAGCTTATTTAACAAAAGTGGTCTAGGAACAGAGTCAAAGGCTGATGAGTAATTTAAAATGGCAAAACACATACTTAACACCTTTGTCGAGACTAGAAACAACATTATGATGCAGGACAGTGGCTGCATCTAAAGTACTCCTCCAGTGTTTGTATGCAAACTGTTTTGGATCTCTGAAGGCCATCAATGAAGGTTCAATCACAAGGAGAAGTAATTTCTCCATTATCTTCAGAAAAGGGGAAGTTATAGCAATAGGTCGAAAAGTAATATCTGATCCAGAAGATGGCTTAGGCACGGGTACAATTTTTATCTGCTTCCAAGCAGCGGGTATTATGTTTTTAGAGGATGATACACTGAAGATATCTGTAGATGGATGACACAAAATATCTGCACATTTTCTAAACATGATACTAGAAACACCATCAGGACCTAAGCTTTGAGAGGGATTCAAAGAGTTTAGACATTTAAATACATCATTTGTATTGAAACCTGGAAAGCAGCTATCCACTTGATTTCGCACATTAGGAATGGTGAAATTAATTAGCTTGCCGAAGTATAAATGACTTGTTTAACGCGCAGACATCCGAACGAGTTTGTGTTGTCATCTGTTTTTTACCAGTAAGCTCTTTAAATAATCTCCATATATTGGAAGAGTTCTTACACGATAAGAACTTCTTGTTGTATACAGTATTCAGACGTTGTATTTCAGACTTAATTAGGCAGTTAAGCCTTTTAACATCAGGGTGATCTCTCGCCTTATACAACCTTTCCTTTTCTCTCCGAAGCCTCTTGAGATGAGGAGAGGAAAGTCTGTCAAATCTCATGTAAATTGTTTCAGTAGGGCAGCATATATCGAGACAGAATCTGAGATAGCTTGTGACTTTGGTAATAGTGTTGTCTAAAACTTCATCAGCAAATATATCCCAGTCCGTTTCTATAAGCATGCTTTTCAAACGTAATATATTTTCTTGTGAATAGCATCTGTATTGAACTTATTCGGTCAATAAAGCTATCAAGTGAATAATATATTCACATTAGTAGTAGATGGAAAATTTATTACCTTTTTAACTGAATCTCAGTTTCAAAAAACCATTTATCGTCGGCGATAAAACTGTCGGCTAAAAATGCTTCCTATTAGGTGTATGAAAGTATGTTTCAGGGTGTCGTATACAAATATACATTCAGATGTGTCTGGTTGCTTATAACCCACGGGTCAGTATTTCTAAACAAAAATAAACAATCATACGGAGTATTACCATTTTGTATTCATGTGTTTATGCTTATTTAAATAAACTTTCTTTGTCTTTATGGAGCGTACTTCTCATGTTATAAGGTTTTATTGGTATTGACCTTATAGTCAGTTGTTTGTACGGAAAGGTTGTTTCCTTTTGTTTGAATGGATAGTGTTTTCAATTACTCAAGTATCTCTTAAAGTCGATGGTTGATAAGGGAGCTGGAGTGATGGCTTTCATATTATCGTTATTATTATTATTATTATGATCATGGTTGTAGTAGAAAGTGTACTTAAGCATCGTTGCTTTTTTAGACTGTAGGTGTTGTGTATTTTTAGGCGTACAATGCATTTATGTAAACAAACAATGAAGTTGTAGTTTAAACTAAGTATTTAGGTCTAGGAATTAGTGCATCTCTTTGTCATGTCTTTTAAGAAAGAAGATTTTATTCTATATTGTTGCATACATTTGTATCTATGATTTTTTTCAATCAGTAATCATACTTTGTAACCACATATGATTACGAATATCAGGCGTTAACTCTTGGTGTTGTTATCTGTACTGTCCCGTTGCTGATTTGACGGAATTGATTGATCTCTATTAGTATATGAGCTCCTACGCGGATGCTTCAATATTGCCTGTGTTTCAGTTTTATATCGGTGGTGGATAGTGGCTAGGAGTGGGATACAGGAGGCAGGTACACCCAGCTGACGAGTCCCAAGTAAGACGAAATGTGCGTCCTGTTCAGTTCCTGTTTGAAAAATAACACTGTAGACTATATTTTTGCAAGCTTTAATTATTTATTGTTTGGTCAATGGGTTTTTGAGCTGACATTTTATAAATTCAGGAAACGGTTAAATCAACTCAGTGAGCACTACTCATCTTGATACGTTCTGAGTGTAATGTAGACTGATTATAAGAACATCTTCGTTATTAGTATAATATTGTCTTTCTGTGGCTGTTCATCAACTGTCATGTGTCAAAATAAACAGACATTTTTCTTCGGATACTTTATCATATAGTAAGTCAATGTAAGAATACCATAACAAGATTAAGAAAGTACTTACCATTTTAGGATGGTGGAAGTCCAAATATATTTCAGTATCTAGGCAAACTAAATAAAAAAAAAATACTGCGTTTCTTTGTGGAGAAGTATCATTATTTCCCTGAAGACCGATTCATAACTGCTTTTATTGGGGGGGGGGGGGGGGGGATCTTAAAAGTAACCCTCAAATTCGTTTAGCATTCCAAATTCGCCTTTAAGTGATTGTCCCCATTGTAATCTTTTCATTAAGTTATTCAACGAAAAGGAATAAAAAGTTATATGTTTTCATTCAGGGTTCTTTACTAGTCACAATACTAACGAGTTCATCTCAGGTTATTCTTTGTG